CTAAAAGTTTACAAGTATAACTGCAGAAGAATGACAGGATTTATATTTCAATACCAAGTCACATCTTAGTATAACTGAAAGTTTACAAGTAGATTTAAACTTCAATATTAGGACCCAACCATAACCGCAGAATAATGATAGAATTTATACTTTGATATATGGCCCCAGGATTTTCAAAGAATTTATGACTGATTTTTCAACTTCAACTTTCAACTTTAATTTAGGTTCCTATTGATTATGTGCATTAAGTCGCATTTAGCACTGTGGTTATATTGCAGCCAAAGAGGAATCAAACTTTCCATTAACACTACTAATAAACCAGCTTCAAAACATCAGTGCTAGTTTTGTTCTTAGCTTCAGCCTATCATGAACAGCTGTTCTAAAACTTTCACAAGTCATCCTTTTCAAAGCCACCAAAATCAAGGGTACAGCACTGATGTAGGATTGTTAACAAAAAACATTGATAACAACGGCCATGGACCTACTACAAATCCAGGTAGGTGGTAGCCGAGAAGAAACCTAATATGGTTACCGTAGTGGCTGAGCTTTCAGACCTGTTGTGGATACACAATTTCCCTTTTCACTTGAGTGATACAGAGTTAATGTATACATTTTGAAAACTAAAATGATTAAGTATCACTGAATGCTCAGTTGAATTTATGGAGACTGTATATATACAGCCAAGAGTTTTATGGAGACTGTATATATACAGCCAAGTGTTTTATGGAGATGGTATATATACAGCCAGGCGTTTTATGATGAAAACTTTTGAATATTAAGAAAACAAACCAACTATCATTTTCAGGTAAAAATATTGTGTATATTCTCCACCATATTGTGTTGACCACTATCTTTCCTACCACCTCCATAACTGCAGTCTGCATTGGAACACTAAAGTACAGAACATCATGAGTTATAAGGAAGGGTAATTGAAATGTGAACGCTAAAAGGAGACTCGCATCATGCTGTGACAATAACTGCTATTCATTTGAGTTCCCAAACTTCAATCTTGTTTACTACAAGTTGTCTCCATTAGTACCAGTCAGGATTAACACAATGTATACAGTTAAAAGTTTGCTTGGTGTACATGTTTCTTTAGAATACCTACCGGTATGTGTGGGGCGCACTACTGCAATCTAAAAAAGGCTTATGATTTTGTGTAGTATAGTACCCAAACATCAGTTTTGGTATTAAAACTGTGTACACTTATATCTGTATGCATGGTCCTGTGTACATTACAACTGGTATACATCAGTCCTGGTATAAAACTGGAGTTTCAATCTGTATGTATGTTTCTGTGTATTGTATACTTTTTTATTCCATACATCAGCTTTGATAACTTGTGTACGTATTCACACAATGCAATACAAAAAAACCTGTCACAGTGATGAAGCAGTTGTCAATATTCATCAAAATCAAATAAATAGATTTTGAAATGTACATGTGCTAATCATTTTGTGTTATTACATGTGAACTAGTTTTAATTTCTTTCCATTTCTGTAAGTTTATAAACAGATATTGACTGGCGTTTCTCTCCATTATCGTGTTGTCATGACAATGCATGAGTCTTCATGTTCTTTAAATGTACAGTCAACAATGGCTGCTAGATATGTTATATCATCAACAATAAAAGTAAAACATGCAAGTTCAAGTCTTGTCTATTTAATGACAATATATGTGTTGATCCGGGAGGATTGTGGACGTGGGAACAATATCTACATACAGTGCTGCAAAGAAAGTAATCTGCTGATGTTTGTTGACTGCTAGTCCAGACCATAATATCTGAACAGCTGAATATTTTCTTAAAAATCATCAAATATGGATGTACTTAAAAAGGACATTTGTCATGTAAAATTCTAATTATGAACCATCAAGGTCAGAAGGTCAAATAAATGTAACATTCGCAAGGACCATAACTTGCAAATGTTAATATGTTAAACTTCATAGATAAATGTATCATAGCCTGATGAACAGCGAGTCACATAGAATTCCCAGGTGTTTAAACTTCAGGCCAATGCCATAAGGGATCAAATCTGTAATACCTGTCCAGAAGCTCAGAACCCTTGAAGTCAAAAGTCAAATTGTAACGCTTGGCTTGGAATGGTTTAGTAAGTTTTATCATGTACCAATCTAGTGTCTTATAGCAATATAGTCTTATATTGTCTTGTTGATTCTCAGATGTGGGTCAAAATCATACTTTAGAAGTGAAAGCGATACTACCTAGGTATGTGTGGAAAGTTTAATGAAAATCAAAACATTCCTTCAAGAGTAATCAGATAGACAACATTTGTGTGGACACCACTGCTGCCACCACAGCTATGTCTTTATGTCACATCTGCCTTGCAGGAAACACAAAAAAAAGTAGACAAAGACAACTTAAATTTGTTCACATTTTTATAATACTAGTTGTTTTAAAGAAAACCAGTGTCTTGTTGTAGGATTTTTTAAGAACACTTCATAGATATTTTAGCCAAAAAATAAATCTTTGTGGAAATGTCATCCTCATAATACAATTATGAAGAAAAAGTTAACCACAGAGTTACTTTAGCCTGATAAGGCTTTCAGAGGTACACTGCACTGGAAGATAGGGAATGCTGGCAGATTAATATGGAATTTAAAAATAAAGAATTAAAAGTTATTGATAATTTCAGTGATCAATATTTTTTATTTCATTTGATATTACATACTTTATTTCAAAATAAAGATTTCAATTGTTTTTAGGTTGTATATTTGAGGTTTTTTGTACATTCCATAAACTTGGCACAAGCTTGGCTTAATGTGTAAAGGTAAGAGCAGGGGAAAGGCAAAAGTTGGCCTCGTGTGAATAATAATTATACAAATTGGGTGCACGACACTCAAGAGAAGCTACTATTAAAATATATCATAAACCACAGGATTCTTAAAATTCCATAGGTCAAATACAATTAAATAAATGATGGTTCTTTGTAAAGTTAAGATAAAATACTCTTGAAATAATTTGTATTGAAATAATGTATAATCTGGATCACAATTACATAAAATAACATTAACATCAAATGTATATTTAGGAAATCACAGCCCTCTGCTTCCATACAAAAGAAAAGTGTTTTCACAGGAAAAAAATGGAATGAAAGAACAGATATTTGACATAAACTTTGAATGAGCAACACAATGTATTAAATATATAATACTTCAATATAGTTGTAAGGTAAGTACAAAACGATTCAATGTTTTTCTGTATAACAGTATATTATGTACAAGAGTTTTCAAAACAGTAACCTGTAAGTAGTAATACACACCTGCTCAGTTAACCCATTACATAAGGCATTATAATAGAACAACATTCTTCAAGAACATTGCAATGTCTGTTCAGAGATGTGTATCCTGCCACAACTGACAAGGTAGTAGATGTTTGGGCAGTCACCTTCATCTTTTCTTTAAGGTGATTAAAGTTGTGATCCATAGTTCTTTAAGTTGAGATTTTGGTCTTTTATTTTATCTGGTTAAATTTCCTTAAATGATGGATGTCATTGATCTGTAGTTCTGTACATTGATTGTTCTGTAAAACAAAGGGAAACAGGTTACAATACACTGACATATTTGGAGGAAAGATAATAAATCGCCCAAAGCTTCATTCTAACAAGAAACACTCGGTTGATAAAAACAGACAGAACAATATCTAACCATCAAAAAAAGTAAAAGTTTAACTCCAATGAAATATTAACCTGCATGGACGATGTCTCTTCATACATAATATTATATTTAATAGTTGATTTCAAGTAACTTAATTATGACAACATTTTTTTGCCATTTTTACAAAGTCAATAGTAATAATAATTTGTCTTTCAAGACACATTAACTGTACAATTTAACAATTGATGGGTGGTATTTCAAAGACATGATAGGAGGCATAAACACGGGTCTTGTGAACGAAAAAAGTTCTGACAGAGTCAATATAATTTTCCCTTGAAAAAAAGAAAGGATATCTCCATACGATTAAGTTCTACTTACTTCAGTATATTCTGGTTGACTATAGAATTAGTAGGTACAGATTTAGGTCCCTGTGATGGCATAAAGGTCTTTCCAGTTTTGTTGACAACATTGACAGAGTGTGACACTTTGATCTTGTAAGGGTCGGCGGAATGGGAAGGATAAGGGTCAAATGTTCCCGCCTTCATACCAGCAGGCTGTGGTGAAATAAATGGTAACTTTCAATGCAAGAAATATTCATAATAATATGTCATTTCAATGTAGAGTAATTGTTTTAAAAATCCTGTAGTAGTACGTTATTGTTTATTAACAGTATTTCTTTAGAACAGGACACATGGTCATTTTTACATGCAACACTAAATATATAATTTGCATGTGTCCAATACAAGCTGCATGGTATTTTTTCCATCAGATAGGTAAGAATAAAAAATAAATTAAAAAAAAATGTGAATCTAAAGGCTGTAAATTTTTGCGATCGCCTTTTGTCCGTCGTCCGGCAGTAAACAATTTACATTTTCGACTTCTTCTCCAAAACCCCTGAA